GTATGACAATGAGTGACACGTTGGCATGACTGCACAGACAGACTGGCACTCAGGCTACAAAGGTCTAAAGAGATCAGTGTTGATCAAAGGTTGATAAGATACAGACAATCATCATCATCTAACATTGTTCTTTCTCCTCTTCACATAAGATACAGACCATCATCATCTAACATTGTCCTCTTCACATAAGATACAGACCATCATCATCATCATCTAACATTGTCCTCTTCAAATAAGATACAGACCATCATCATCTAACATTGTCCTCTCTCCTCTTCACATAAGATACAGACCATCATCATCATCATCATCTAACATTGTCCTCTTCACATAAGATACAGACAATCATCATCTAACATTGTCCTCTCTCCTCTTCACATAAGATACAGACCATCATAAAAAAATTATAATATATATTTCACCTTTATTTAACCAGGTAAGCCAGTTGAGAACAAGTTCTCATTTACAACTGCGACCTGGCCAAGATAAAGCAAAGCAGTGCGATAAAAACAACACAGAGTTACATATGGGGTAAAACAAAACATAAAGTCAATAACACAATAGAAAATATATATACAGTGTGTGCAAATGTAGCAAGTTATGGAGGTAAGGCAATAAATAGGCTATAGTGCAAAATAATCACAATTTCGTAATTAACACTGGAATGATATGTGCAGAAGATGATGTGCAAATAGAGATACTGGGGTGCAAATTAGCAAAAATAAATAACAATATGGGGATGAGGTAGTTGGGTGGGCTAATTTCAGAATGACTGTGTACAGGTGCAGTGATCGGTAAGCTGCTCTGACAACTGACGCTTAAAGTTAGTGAGGGAGATAAGAGTCTCCAGCTTCAGAGATCTTTGCAGTTCGTTCCAGTCATTGGCAGCAGAGAACTGGAAGGAATGGCGGCCAAAGGAGGTGTTGGCTTTGGGGATAACCAGTGAGATATACCTGCTGGAGCGCAGACTACGGGTGGGTGTTGCTATGATGACCAATGAGCTAAGATAAGACGGGGATTTGCCTAGCAGTGATTTATAGATGACCTGGAGCCAGTGGGTTTGGCGATGAATACAGTGGGGAAAAAAAGTATTTAGTCAGCCACCAATTGTGCAAGTTCTCCCACTTAAAAAGATGAGAGGCCTGTAATTTTCATCATAGGTACACGTCAACTATGACAGACAAAATGCGAATTTTTTTCTCCAGAAAATCACATTGTAGGATTTTTTATGAATTTATTTGCAAATTATGGTGGAAAATAAGTATTTGGTCAATAACAAAAGTTTCTCAATACTTTGTTATATACCCTTTGTTGGCAATGACACAGTTCAAACGTTTTCTGTAAGTCTTCACAAGGTTTTCACACACTGTTGCTGGTATTTTGGCCCATTCCTCCATGCAGATCTCCTCTAGAGCAGTGATGTTTTGGGGCTGTCGCTGGGCAACACAGACTTTCAACTCCCTCCAAAGATTTTCTATGGGGTTAAGATCTGGAGACTGGCTAGGCCATGCCAGGACCTTGAAATGGTTCTTACGAAGCCACTCCTTCGTTGCCCGGGCGGTGTGTTTGGGATCATTGTCATGCTGAAAGACCCAGCCACGTTTCATCTTCAATGCCCTTGCTGATAGGAGGTTTTCACTCAAAATCTCACGATACATGGCCCCATTCATTCTTTCCTTTACACGGATCAGTCGTCCTGGTCCCTTTGCAGAAAACCATCCCCAAAGCATGATGTTTCCACCCCCATGCTTCACAGTAGGTATGGTGTTCTTTGGATGCAACTCAGCATTCTTTGTCCTCCAAACACGACGAGTTGAGTTTTTACCAAAAAGTTATATTTTGGTTTCATCTGACCATATGACATTCTCCCAATCCTCTTCTGGATCATCCAAATGCACTCTAGCAAACTTCAGACGGGCTGGACATGTACTGGCTTAAGCAGGGGGACACGTCTGGCACTGCAGGATTTGAGTCCCTGGCGGCGTAGTGTGTTACTGATGGTAGGCTTTGTTACTTTGGTCCCAGCTCTCTGCAGATCATTCACTAGGTCCCCCCCTGTGTTTCTGGGATTTTTGCTCACCGTTCTTGTGATCATTTTGACCCCACGGGGTGAGATCTTGCGTGGAGCCCCAGATCGAGGGAGATTATCAGTGGTCTTGTATGTATTTTGTTTCTGGTGTCCTTTGACAGCTCTTTGGTCTTGGCCATAGTGGAGTTTGGAGTGTGACTGTTTGAGGTTGTGGACAGGTGTATTTTATACTGATAACAAGTTCAAACAGGTGCCATTAATACAGGTAACGAGTGGAGGACAGAGGAGAGGACAGAGGAGCCTCTTAAAGAAGAAGTTACAGGTCTGTGAGAGCCAGAAATCTTGCTTGTTAGTGTGTTACTGATGGTAGGCTTTGTTACTTTGGTCCCAGCTCTCTGCAGGTCATTCACTAGGTCCCCCCGTGTGGTTCTGGGATTTTTTTCTCTCTTATTTGTCTGTCATGGTTGACATGTACCTATGATGAAAATTACAGGCCTCTCTCATCTTTTCAAGTGGTAGAACTTGCACAATTGGTGGCTGACTAAATACCTTTTTTCCCCCACTGTATGTAGTGAGGACCAGCCAACAAGAGCGTACAAGTCACAATGGTGGGTAGTGTATGGGGCTTTTGTGACAAAACGGATGGCACTGTGATAGACTACATCCAATTTGCTGAGTAGAGTGTTGGAGGCTATTTTGTAAATGACATCGCCGAAGTCAAGGATCGGTAGGATAGTCAGTTTTACGAGGGCATGTTTAGCAGCATGAGTGAAGGAGGCTTTGTTGCGAAATAGGAAGCCGATTCTAGATCTAACTTTTGATTGGAGATTCTTAATGTGAGTCTGGAAGGAGAGTTTACAGTCTAACCAGACACCTAGGTATTTGTAGTTGTCCACATACTCTAGGTCAGACCCGTCGAGAGTAGTGATTCTAGTCGGGTGAGTGGGTGCAAGCAGCGTTCGGTTGAAGAGCATGCATTTAGTTTTACTAGTGTTTAAGAGCAGTTGAAGGCTACTGAAGGAGTGTTGTATGGAATTGAAGCTCGTTTTGGAGGTTTGTTAACACAGTGTCCAATGAAGGGCCAGATGTATACAAAATGGTGTCGTCTAATCATCTAACATTGTCCTCTCTCCAGACCCAGATCTCTGTGCTGATCAGTGTTGTATCAAAGGCAGATAGAAACCACATCTGGTGATCTAACTCCTCTCCTTTAGAAGAGACAGATCTTCATTCTCCACTCTAACATTGGTCTCCAAAGTCTATCTTCTCTCCTCTGTCAGGATGTACAGGCAGTTAGTTCTCTCCTCTCCTCTCTGTCAGGATATACAGGCAGTTTGTTCTCTCCTCTCTGTCAGGATGTACAGGCAGTTAGTTCTCTCCTCTCCTCTCTGTCAGGATGTACAGGCAGTTTGACTCTATCTCTGCAGGATGTAAATGCAGTTAGTTTGTGCTCTCTCTCTCTTTCTGTTCCAGGATATACAGGCAGTTTGTTCTCTCCTCTCCTCTCTGTCAGATGTACAGGCCAGTTGTTCTCTCCTCATACCTATCTGTAAGGATTGTCAGGCAGTTGTTCATCTCCTCTCCTCTCTGTCAGGATATACAGCAGTTTTGTTCTTCCTCTCTGTCAGATATAACAGCAGGTTGTTTCTATTCATCTCCTCTCTGTAAGGATATACAGGCAAGTTATGTTCTCTCTCTCTGTAGGATGTAAAGCGCAGTTCAAGTTTATCATCTCCTCTCTGTCAGGAATTACAGGCAGTTTGTTCTATTCTCTCGTTAAGTATATACAGGCAGTTTGTTCTCTCCTCGTCAGGATGTAAAGGCATTTGTTATCTCCTTCCTATGTAGGCTATAAGGAAGTTTTTCTCATATCATTATCGTAGGATGTAAGGCAAGTTTGTTCTATCTCTACTCTCTGCTAAAGGATGTAAAGGCAGTTGTTCTCATCCTGTAAGGACATACAGGAAGTTTGTCTATACTCTCTGTAGGATATACAGGAAGTTTGTTATCTACTATCCTCTCTGTAAGGATTGTTAAAGGCAGTTTGTGCTCTCCTCTCTGTCCGGATATACAGGCCAGGCTTGTTCTCTCCTCTCTGTCAGGATGTTACAGCAGTTTTTGTTCTCTCCTCTCCTCTCTGTCAGGAAGTATACAGGCAGTTGGTTTCCTACTCCTGTCAGGATTTGTAAAGGCAGTTTTGTCTATCCTCTCTCTCTGTCAGGATATACAGGCAGTTTGTTCTATCCTCTCCTCTCTGTCAGGATGTACAGGCAGTTTGTTCTCTCCTCTCTGTCAGGATATACAGGCAGTTTGTTCTCTCCTCTCCTCTCTGTCAGGATGTAAAGGCAGTTTGTTTCTCCTCTCCGTCAGGATGTACAGGCAGTTTGTTCTCTCCTCTCCCTCTGTCAGGATATACAGGCAGTTTGTTATTCCTCTCTGTCAGGATGTAATGTAACGGAAGTTCGTTCTCTCCTCTCTCTCTGTCAGGTATACAGGCAGTTTTCTCTCCTCTCCTCTCGTTCATGATGTTTACAGGCGTTGTTCCTCTCCTCTCTGTCATGAATATAGGCAGTTTGTTCTCTTCTCTCCCTCTCTGTCAGGATATACAGGCACGTTGTTCTCTCCTCCCCTCTTTCAGGATGTAAGGCAGTTGTGTTCTCTTCCCTCTCTCTCTCTCTGGCAGGCTATACAGGCAGTGTTCTCTCCTCTCCTCTGTCAGGATGTACAGGCAGTTTGTTCTCTCCTCTGTCAGGATGTAAAGGCAGTTTGTTCTCTCCTCTGTCAGGATATACAGGCAGTTTGTTCTCTCTGTCAGGATGTAAAGGCAGTTTGTTCTCTCCTCTGTCAGGATGTAAAGGCAGTTTGTTCTCTCCTCTGTCAGGATGTACATGCAGTTTGTTCTGTCGGTCCTGCTGGCAGTGTTAGTATCAGACCTCCAGTCTAACATTGTCTTCTCTCTCTTTCTCTCAGGATGTACAGGCAGTTTGTTCTGTCAATCCTGCTTGCAGGAATCCTGTGTGCGGTGGGCGGCGACACCCGCAAGACCCGCCTCCAAGGCTCCATCCCCTCCCCCTTCAAGGGGAACGGCAACACCTCTGACAAACGCACCCGTAAACAGGAAATACTTGCCTCCAGCCAGGAAGCTCTCGTCGTCACAGAGAGGAAGTACCTGAAGAGTGACTGGTGCAAGACCCAGCCGCTGCGCCAGACGGTGAGCGAGGAGGGCTGCCTCAGTCGTACCGTCATCAACAGGTTCTGCTACGGCCAGTGTAACTCCTTCTATATCCCACGACACGTTAAGAAGGAGCAGGAGTCTTTCCAGTCCTGCGCTTTCTGCCGGCCCCAGCGGTTCACCACGCTAACCATAGAGCTGGACTGTCCCGACCTCCAGCCGCCCTTCAGGCACCGCAAGATCCAGAGGGTCAAACAGTGCCGCTGTGTATCGGTCTCCGTCGGTGACTCTGGGAAGCAGTGATAACTCTGTATCCCTGCTGCCTCCATCCCTTTATCTTGGGACAATCCCTAGATACTGGCCAGATATTCCTCTCACCTCGCAGGAGACAGTTTGTACAAGACTTGAGTACATGAGGGTGAGAACATGCATTTTATTGACGACACATAGAATGAGTATCTAAAACCTGAAAAGGCCTACGCTTTAGAAGTACTGAGCATGACAGACATTTCTATGGAGCAGCTCTGTGCTAAATCACACCAAGCACTCTACATGATACAAACTGTCATTTCTACAACCCAGGCCGAAAAACCCCATGACTATACACTGTAGTTCAAAGATGGTGGATAAATTAAGATGTCGTACTCGGGCGGTTTACCATTGGAAAAAAAATGGTCACAGTTCCAGTCTACTTAACTGGGTGTGTCTCCCATAGACGCCAATGCGATAGCAGCTGGGACTGCTCTGCTTAGTTCATTGACTGTATATGAACCAGAAAAAAAAAAGGAGAGACGTCTCGCTTCCTCTTCTGTCTCTGCAGAAACTGACTTACCTGGACCACAGGTCTCCTTCCTCAGCCTGTCAGTGATGTGGGTCTTTTCAAATGGAAGAAAACTGACTGAAATGAAGGGACTTGTCCAATAGAAAATGCTAATTTTCAACTGCAAAACGTTTTGCTGAGGTGTGCCCTAATGAATATGACCATAATTCCACAGAGGGACTCTGGTAGACAGGTTGTTGACTACAGGCTGACTGGGTTGGTAGAAGGGTTACCGCAGCAACAGTCTACCTGGGGTTCCACAGGCACGGGTTACCGCAGCAACAGTCTACCTGAGGTTCCACAGGCACGGGTTACCGCAGCAACAGTCTACCTGGGGTTCCACAGGCACGGTTACCCGCAGCACAGTCTACCTGGGGTTCCACAGGCACGGGTTACCGCAGCAACAGTCTACCTGGGGTTCCACAGGCACGGGTTACCGCAGCAACAGTCTACCTGGGGTTCCACAGGCACGGGTTACCGCAGCAACAGTCTACCTGAGGTTCCACAGACACTATATCATACTGTACAAATAAATATCACATTATTATTACATTTAGAGAGATTATATCAATTCAATGTTACATTACAATAACATTTATATTTACATAAATTAATAAACGATATACTAAATCTATACCAAAGTTGAAAAGTTTCTTGTTTTTTTTTGTGTGTTTTCATTGTGGTTTAAGTTGTCAGTATTGAAAAGGTTAAGATGAAAGTTGCTGCATCTCAACAACACTAAGTTTGAAGACTCATATCCTTTGTCAAGTTTATGATTTGAATGCTGGCCTTCGAAAAAAGAGACAATCACCTGCAAACCCACATAAAAACGCAGAATTTATTCCTCCTTTTATTGTAGATAAATGACACTGCTGCTCCCAGAACAAACATAAAGATCCAGTTTATACAAACACATTATAGAGAAGGAGAATACACCTTATCCAACAGCTCCAGGATGGTGTAGTGATCCAACATGCTTGGACAGAAAATTAAAATCTTTACAAAAATATGTTACATAAAGAATATAACACTACTTTACATTGATAAAAGCATTTTAAATATATTATTTTAGTAACCAAGTCAATTATTTGAACGCACTTTCAATGCAAATGAACATTCCTTTCTCACATTAACAATGTTTATCAAACCAACACACCTCATTTCCCATAACCCTCTCTGTCTTCACATACATTAGCTACACACGGCATCACTTCAGATAAGTGAAAAGGGAATAAGTTATACATTTACAGTTTTTACACCAAAATTGGCATTTCTTTTTCTCAATAAAGACAAGAAGAATCTCTTTGTATTGGAAGTGATGGTTTTGTTAAGTAACTGAGTCCACATGCCAGAACTCTGTTCTCCAGCTGGTCTTCCAAACAGAGTGAACAGGGAGAAGGTCAGGGCGTCAGAAGGTCAGGAAGGACACAGAAAGCTCTCATCTCCCTGACGCCATCTAGTCGAACGCAACGTTGGACATCCATATGACCTGCGTCCCAAACGGTACCCTATTCCCCTTTATATAGATCACTACTTCGGGCCCCTCGTCAAAAGTAACGTACTACATAGGGAATAAGGTTCCATTTGGGCCGCGGCCCATCATTCAAGGTTATTACGTTAGAAGAAGATCCGGCTAAGCCAAGCTTGATCCTGTTATTGACTTGGGCTAAAGAACGTGGTAACGCTCTTTAGTTTTATTTTTACCTGCCGCACCACGATTAATTTCAGACGCTTGTTGAGAAACATTCGGGCGGACTGGCTGCTGCCGTCTGAAAACGCTGGCTTCCATTTGGGCTGAAGAAGGGTGAACTATTATTACTATGAAGAGCAACGGTCTAAAACAATAATACTGAACATCAACGTGTTTGATGGTAACTGATCTGTCAGAGCCTGCATCCCAAATGGAACCCTATATGGTGCACTATACAGGGAATAGGGTGCATGGGCCCTGGTCAAAAGTAGTGCACTATATAGGGAATAGGGGGCATGGGCCCTGGTCAAAAGTAGTGCACTATATAGGGAATAGGGTGCATGGGCCCTGGTCAAAAGTAGTGCACTATATAGGGAATAGGGGGCATGGGACCTGGTCAAAAGTAGTGCACTATATAGGGAATAGGGGGCATGGGACCTGGTCAAAAGTAGTGTACTATATAGGGAATAGGGGGCATGGGACCTGGTCAAAAGTAGTGTACTATATAGGGAATAGGGGGCATGGGCCCTGGTCAAAAGTAGTGCACTATATAGGGAATAGGGGGCATGGGCCCTGGTCAAAAGTAGTGTACTATATAGGGAATAGGGGGCATGGGACCTGGTCAAAAGTAGTGCACTATATAGGGAATAGGGGGCATGGGCCCTGGTCAAAAGTAGTGCACTATATAGTGAAAGGGGGCATGGGGCCCCTGGTCAAAAGCGGCACTCTTATAGGTATTCGTGGGCATGGACCCTGGTTCAAAAGCAGTTACTATATAGGGAATAGGGGGCCCAGGGCCCCCCTGTCAAAGTTATAGTGGAAATAGGGAACGATTTGGGATGCATCCTGGACGATGGCTGCATTCGTTTTCCTTCTCAACTTTCTGCTGTGTGTCCTCTGACATACCCAGTCCAATGAGGTGGTGTTTTAATATGTATACGATCACTGTTTTAGTGAGCCTAATACACATTTATATTGCTTGGACAAAAAATATATTTGTCATGGTATTCTTGGCAGTAGCTTGAACAGGTATATTTTTTTGTTTGCTTTCAGGTCAGTACAGTCGGGGGGGGGGGGGTGGGTGGGGGTAGGACTGTAGAGAAGATGTCTCCAGGTATCTCAACAGTAGGGGGGGTAGGACTGTAGGAAGATGTTCCAGGTATCTCAACAGTAGGGTGG